GAAACAAAGGAGGAGGCTACAATGCTTGATAAGAAATGTACTCATTATCTTGCCCATGTAATTGTAACCCCTCTGTACAGTATTTTCACAATGAAAAAATTAAAAAAATAAAAAAGCCTGTTTTCATTAAAGGAATGTAAAATATTTATATGGAGAAAATTTTATGTCGTGTAAAGGATGCGTGTAGATATGTGGGATGTGGGTATAAATTGGTTGGTACAACTATATGTGTTGGGAACTCTAAAAGTAACTAACAACCAAATGTTATCTAACAGCCTCAATTTAGTCTGACTCTCAGCTGGCCTTAACTGCTTGTCTTCTCTATTTACACAGTTGTGGAGATGCAAAAAACTCCATGTGGGCTTCCCACAGGAATGTGTATAAGATTATAATACAAAACAAGAAACTTACTGCCTAAGTTTCTATAGACCTATACACAAGAGGGGAAATAGGAGATTAGAATCCACAAAACTAAAGTATTGCCATTCTGGAGAATTAATGAAATACAATTTCGGCAGACTCTGAAGAGAATAGACATTTTGACAGCAGCCTCTTAAAGGTTATTGAAAGACCTGGGCTCTCTAACCTCTTCACTGTGAATCAAAATGTCCTCGAAAGATGATTCTTAGGAGTCAATTGGAGAAGATGTTTCCCCTTTCTCTTCCAACTCACTGTAAATCGGTGAATAAATGTTTAATTCTTCATAAAGACGATCATCTGGAACCTGATAATGAAAAAGATCATGCTGTATAAAGCACCAAGAACTTTCTGGAAGCTTTGTTCTACAAGCTTACATGTTCTCCTTCTGTCTTTCTCTTCCACATCCCTGTTCCTTACACTCTATATCCCCTACATCTCCAGAACAAAAACACACCAGAGTTCCCATACAACTGGGTCCGGATGAAATCCTATCAGTCAATGACATGGTAGTGAGATTTTTCTGTGTCTGAATAATTTTCTGGGGAAGGAAAAAGTATTCGAGAAAATCTAGCCCATCATTTTTAAGTTCAAATCCTTTAGATCACCATTTACAATTCATGCCATGCTTACCTTATTTCCACTGACTTCTTCCCCAATCCCATAGATGGTGAGGAACACAGCACTACAAAACCCCAGGATGGTAAGAAACAGCATCATTGTCACAATTTCCTATTGAACAGCAACCAATCACAATCAAAAAGTCAGTCCTGTGGTAGGTATCCCCAGAAATATATTCCTTCATAGTAAGTCCTAATTTTACCCTTCCTCCCCCACCATTTGCTCACATAAAGTGACACACACAGGGAGAACACCAGGAGGTGATCAATTGGGGAAGACAACTCCAACCTTGGAGTGGAGACAGGGGGCGGTCATTATGTTCTTGGTCTGCATTATAAGATGGGTCTCCAAAAAGCAATGGCATATACAGGGGAAAGGAAACAAGGATTCTCGCTTCGACTAGACGCCAGAGACCACGTTCTCATAAGAGATACCTACAATGGTAAAAGAAGCCACAAAGCAGGTGTCGTCCTCATGAAGGCCTTTGCATTGGCTGACGTAAGCTGAGCTGTAGCTTAGGTTGAGGATCAGAATGACAATTCCGATTCCTGCAGCAATGCTGCTCACGGCGTTTGCTCCCAGGCTGCCTCTCGCCTGGTGATAAAGAAGAAGGCTCAATCCTGCTTCTTCTCCTTCCAGCACATTCTATCATCGGATAGACATTTCAGAGATGGTCACATCTAGCAATCTACATTGATTATATTGTTTGTTCCAAAAGGAACTTTGGCACCAAAATGGAGGGACGCAGGGTGAACAAATGCAGCAGTGGCACTCAGTAGACACTATGTTAAAATGAACTATACAATTTGTGGGCAGGGACAGGAGGGAAAAACTGGGAGAGACCGAGGGAAGGGGTGACATTGTCAACTTATGAAATGGTAACCCCTCTGATCATCACCTTTATAATATCAATAAAAGTATTTAATAATAAAAAACTTTTAAAAATATACTTATTGCTCTCTAGGCACCTATTACTTTCTTGCTGGGACTACATCAAGAATATGAGGGCTGGGGCTGCAGCTCAGTGGTAGAACAGGTGCTTAAAGCAGGCACAAAGCCCTGGGTTCAATATCCAGCACCAAAACAAGTAAACAAACCTAAACAACCGTGATGGTCAGCAAATGTTATTGACTGATGCCCAGCTACTTAGGAAGCAAGATATCAGGATCACAGTTCAAAGCCAGCCTGAGTAGATAAATTCAAGAGTCTCTTATCTCCAATGATTCAGTAAGAATCAGGAAGTAGATGTGTGGTTCAAGTGCTAGATTGTTATCCTTGAGCAAAAGCAAAGCAAGAACAAAAGGCCCTGAGTTCAAATGACAGTACTGGCATATGCACATGCAAGTGTGGGCATGTGCACACATCCACCTCTCCCCCCCCCCCCACACACACACGAATGGTCTGGATGGTTTCCTTATCTGGAAATCATGTACTTGACTATGTGACTATACTTAACTACTTAAACTATCAATGACCATGTGGGAGTTGTTCAAATTGGTATCAAAGAATTCAAACATTACTTGTGTTAAACAATCCAACTGATACTTCTAATGATTATATCTAAATGTCATTACAAAAAAAAACTTCCAGCACAAAAGAGATTTAAAAAAAGATCACATAGCCACAGCTACTGCAATCCAGTAGTGGGAAACAGGTGTCCCTGAAGGCTCCTAACGTGATGTCATTCTTACCTTTTAAGGATAAACAAAGACAGAACTGCAACTCACCAGATTCACTGCCTTTTTCTCTTCGGATATGATTGACAACAATCCAGAAATAGCAAACTGGCCAGAAGGAAAAAGGAATAAAACATAGTACGTATCTAATCTCTACTATGCTCCTTCTCCTCCATCCTCCAATATAAAGTAAAAGTTGGAGTTACTCCATAAAGCTATCTATTGGTGTTTCCCATGGGAACAGTATATATTTGGTGATGCTGAGGACCAAACTTAGGCCTTGTAGATGCTCTACCATTGAGTTACATTCCCAGCCCAGATAAACATTGCTTTTATTCTTATTTCGTATAAAGTACCTCTCCAAATCAAAAGTATCCACAAATTATGTGAGAATCTTTATAAAATGCTGCATGTAGGCCAGGCGCTGGTGGCTAACACCTGTAATCCTAACTACTCAGGAGGCTGAGATCTGAGGATCACAGGGCAAAGCCAGTCCAGGCAGGAAAAGCCCATGAGACTCTTACCCCAATAAACCACCAAAAAACTGGAAGTGGTACTGTGGCTCAAGTGATAGAGCATGTGCCTTGAGCTGAAGAGCTGAGGGACAGAGCCCAGGCCCAGAGTTCAAGCCCAATGACCAGCAACAACAATAACAACAAAAATGCCACATGTTACTCATTGGGCCTCTGTGGGTGCTCAATTCTTCATTTTATGCCTGGCTCTAGGTAAGGTTGGCTTTGAAAGCCCCTGGATCACTCCTAGAGTGGCAAGGGCAGGCAGTAACTGGTGCATAACACTGGTGTTTCAACACTGTTATTGCTTCACTGTAATTATTTGTGTGTATGTCCTCTGGATTATATAGTCAACTGATCTGGAGATGTACATCCCCAGAGCCCAATATGTATCAGATTACAATAACCATTATAGAATGCTCGCAACAGTATTATTGAATATGATTACAGGTGACTCATACCTGTAATTTTAGCTACTGAGGAGGATAATGTATGTAAATCTAAGGAGATAAATAATTGGTTATACTGGAGTAAAAGAAAATCTATGTTTAGTTTTGTTTGAGAAACAATCACTAAAGCTGGGGACCAGTGGCTCACGCCTGTGATCCCAGATACTCAAGAGGGCTGAGATCTGAGGATCTCGGTTTGGAGCCAGCCCAGGCAGGTAAGTCCATAAGACTCTTATCTTTAACTAAGTATACCAAAATAAGTGATGGTATGGAAATTGTGGCTCAAGTGATCGAGCTCTAGCCTTGAGCACAGGGACAGTGCCCAGGCCCTGAGTTCAAGCCCCAGAACCAGCAAACAGAAGAAAAAGAAAGAAAGACTGAGAGAGAAAGAGAGATTAAAAAAGAGAGAAAGAAAGAGAGAGAGAGAGAAAAAAGAAAGAAAGAGAGAGAGGGAAAGACAGGGGGGTACAGATACATACTCACCAATATGGCTCCCCAGAATGGATAGCCTGCTCTAAATGATGCAAATATTCTTTTTTCAAAATCCGAAATATCAAGTACAGCACAGACAATTATGCCTAAACAAAGGCATATCAAGCCAATCAGAATTTGTGTCACCTGTGGGGGGAAAACATATAAAATGTGTAAAGAATCCATTTTCCTAAGATCACATTAATTTCCTCATCATTGAAACCAAATGTAAGCAACTGCTTTGATGTTTTAGACTGTTCAGACCTCTACAAAAACTGAATCGATGCCAGCAAGATCTGGTGCACTGATGGCCAAGACACAGCTCATAGGCCCTTATTTATGAGTGAAGGAGGCATCAGTGATTTTTCTTCCCATCTAAGTAATCAGAGATCAGGAATACTTTGCCCTGTTCTACCATTTGTGTCCCATTAATTTGGAGTCTACCTGAACAACACGTCTCTCTCCTTCCAAAAAGACTCAACTGATAGCAAGTGCTAATTAACTGGGAACTGCAGAGGGTCTTTTCCCTGCTTATGAACCCAAGAGAATCAGTTCCTAGAAACAAATACCTTTCCTGGAGCCAACCCTTATCTGCAGTCAAGGCTAGAAGACATAACTCACCCCCAGGAACTGCAACTCTTCCTTCAAAACTGTCAGCCATGTCTTCCGTGGTTGGGGTGAGATGGGTTTCTCCGGCAGTGGGTTTTCCCTGGGAGACGCTTCCAAGATTTCGATTTCAGATTCACTGTGAAATTTACCAGAAATTCAGTCAGAAGGAAATTATTTCTCTTCCTATTAAAATAAAACTTGTTCACTGTCCAAAAGGGGAGTTTTATTTGCTCAGTTTAGAAAAAAAAAAGCAAAATAAAACAGTCCTGCAATTGAAAGCTTCAGGGTCCTGACTGAGACACTAAGGCTTAGCAAGTCGAAATCATTGGCCAAAAAGACTTAAACACTGGGCTAGGAAGGTGGCTCAGTGGTAGAGCACTTGCCTTGCATGCTCAAGGCCTTGGGTTCGATTCCTCAGCACCACATAAGCAAAAAGAAAAAAGCCAGAAGTGGTGCTGTGGCTCAAGTGGTAGAGCGCTAGCCTTGAGCT